TTGTGGGGTTGCTCTGCCCGGGGCTTCCTGGAATCAGCCGCTGATAATTTTCAGCAGCAGCTGACTTGGGGACACCTGGGGTAGAGCTGCTGGGGTGCTGCTGGGTTGGTCCCCGCAGCGCTGATGTGCGGCGCTGCGGGGACCTACCCGGCAGCGCCCCAGCTGCTCTGCCCCAGGTGTGTCCGATTCAGCCGCTGCTGGTCAGTTTCAACAGCGGCTGAATCTGGACGCCAGTTCCGACTTACATACAAATTCAACTTAAGAACAAACCTACAGTCCCTATCTTGTATGTAACCCAGGGACTGCCTGTATTTCATGCAACTGATGTAGCTCAAGTTACGTAGCTTATTTCAGATTTAGCCCTGCTGCATAGATGTGTCCTAAGAGTTCTATAGATACTTTGTAGGAGCTTGAGTCACAAGCCCCTGCCATGAAGAGCAACGAGGAGGAGTATGGGAAACAAGTCAATCAGGGGATTCAGCTGCACAGTGAGCTAGGAGGGTGCATTTTTAATTTCACCAGTCAAGCATGGCTGAACCCAATCAGGGGAAGAAATCTCTGGTAGCTATGCATGGCCAGAAGTAGCAGAACATGTTGATTTACTCTTTTTTACTTGTACTGGAAGATGTAGTGAAACATACAAGAGAGGTAAAGTCGCTATCAGCTTTTCAATCCCCTCTTGCATTAAGCAGAGGGGGCCATATGGAGTAGTTTATGTGCACCATATCCCTAGGAGAGTGCAGGGCATAGGACACTCCCTCCCTCCATTCCAAGCCCTTCCTCCACCCCTACTCAGCCCCTATTTGCCCCCTTGTTTTGGCTCCATAAGGCATTGCAAAAACTTCCCAAAACACGGTGTGCTGGATGGTGGTCAGTGCAGTGGGATAGCTATTGCCCTCTACATCAGCGGTTCTCAAACTTTCTGGGCTCTGGAGCCCGTTACATGCGTAAAAATTTATATGGAGCCCCAGCACTCCACTGATAGTATGTGTTGTACCTATCCACGTTTCCCATTTGTCAACCTCGCGGAGCCTCTGGAGATGTCTCGCAGAGCCCTGGGGCTCCACAGAGCACAGTTTGAGAAACACTGCTCTACATCAATACAAATGCTCCTGGTGAGGACACACACCATCAACACAAGAAATATAGTGTGTACATGCATAAGAGATGTAATAACTGTGGTGGTGGTTATAAGCTGATGTAACTTAGGTCAACATAATTTTGTAGTATAGACCTGGCTTAGGTTAAGGACCCAGATAACATATTCTGAAATACAGTGGAAATAATGTTGCTGTGCAGGCAAGCATAAACTACATTAAGTGGATGCACCATGTTACTATTATAGGGAGTAATGCTCTCTCCACACATTATTCAGCTGATACAAAATTTACAATTTACGCTTTTATTATCTACATGGTTTCATTAGCTACTGTAGAATAGGTATGTTGTCCTACAACTCTGTGGCATTAGTTTTTTTTCTCTTCTCATGAATTCAGGTATCTGAATCTCAAGTTTGCTCACTTCCCTTTGAAAAGAAGCAGTACTCTACAGTAAGAATCCCAACCCCCGCAGTTGGCACGAGTAGGAGTGCAGCGTTTGGGCGATGCTGCTGGAGAAGCCCGCCGTGCTTTTTGGTGCGTGGGTACCAAAGCATTTCTAATCTCGTTTAGGAGCAGAGATTTCTTGGAAGCAGCTTTTAGGAACCAGTCTCTTCAGCGCCTCCTCAAACGAAGTAAAAAGCGGCTGCTGGTGTGTACAGCAACGGACACTGTTGCTATTGGAAATGGATCTGCTCCAGGAAAGAAAACGAGATGATGCCCTCCCACCAGCCTTGGCACTTCAACCCACAGCCTCCCCTGCCGCTGCCTGCGCCGCCTGGCTTCCCCTCCGCGCCTTCTTCCCAGGGCCGGGCCAAGCCAGCGGCGGAGAGCAAACCCCGCCATGGCGGATCTCCCAGCCGACCCGGGCAGCCAGCAAATCACACGCGCCCCAGCGCGGGGAATCCCGGGGAGCGGCGACTCGCCGCCCGGTGCCTGGTGGTGGATGGAGACGGGCAGAAGGTCCCGTTCGGGGCCCTGTTCCGGGAGCACAGAGCCATCGTGGTGTTCGTGCGGGTGAGAGGCGGAGCCGCTCCCATGCACCCTGCAGGGCCCAGCCCGAAGCGCAGCACAAACCCGCGGGCAGGGGGCGCTCCCAGGCCGGTCTCGCCCGCTTGCGCAAGCTGCGGTTCGCTCCCTGGGCCGTGGGAGACGCGAACTCCGTGCGCCAGAGGCACCCCGCTCGCACTGGCCTCCCCTCGCCGTTTGCGAGGGAGACGCGCGCTCTTGGCTCCGCACTGCGGGCGGGGAGGAGGCTTTCTGCGCAAATGCTTGTGGAAATCAAACCGTAGCTCTTCGATTCCGCAGCTCTGGCCCTCTCTGATTGCCCTGCTGGGCCTACTGCCACTTCGAGAAAGCCCACCAGGGTCCCAGCGCCTTCACGCTTTGACAAAACTTGGATCCCCGCCCAAATGTGGCAGCTGGCTTCTTTCTGCTTCTAGTTTCTAAGCACCCCTCCTTCCAACTGAGGTCCCTCGGGAGGGTTCTCTCTGAGGTCCTTTGTTGCTTCATTGCTATGTAATTGTGTTGGTTGCTGACATTTCCTCCTGGCTCTGTTGCCTTTTCAGCATTTCTTATGTTACACCTGTAAAGAATATGTAGAAGATCTGGCAAAAATTCCCAAGAATTTGTTACAAGTAAGTCAGATGCCTTTAACCTGTGGTCCTGTGTTTGGTGGACAGGGATACCAGGGTTCCGTTCACCCGCATCTATAATACGGATGTTAAATATTGATTAATTTACTAGTTGAGTAGTTGATGGAATTTCCATCAACTACTCATCTAGTCAATAGGCACTTCCCCATTCCTCCTTTGAAATGTACAAGAGCTTCAGCAGGTGCTCTTGTGCGTTTCAGAGTTGGAACTCTGCTGCAGCCTGGGGTCAATGGGAAGTCCCACTGACTCTGGGCTCCAGGCAAGCACTTCCACTTTGAAATGCACAAGGATCTTGTGGATTTCAAAGCGGAAGGGCTGCATGGAGTCTGGAGTCAGTGGGACTTCCTGCTGGCCCCGGGCTGCACACAGCGTGCCAGCTTTAAAATGTACAAGAGTCCCCAGCGGGGGCTCTTGTGCATTTCAAAGCGTAAATGCCTGCATGGAGCCTGAGGTCAGCAGCAGGGGACTCCATGCGGTGCTGCCGCTTTGAAATCCCACACGGAGCTGGGGTCAGCTGGGGACTCCCCAGCTGAGCCTGGGCTTTGTGCAGCATTTCTACAGAACCTGGGGTCAGCTAGGGAGTCCCCAGCTGATCCCAGGTTCCAAGGGCGCTGCCGCTTTGAAACACTGTGGCGTTTCAAAGGGCAGCATAGCACAGAGTCTGGGATTAGCTGTGCGGTGCGGCCCCTTTGAAACACCGCCATGGTATTTCAAAGGGGCAGCATAGCACAGAGCAGAGTCTCTTCACAGACTGCTGCAATTACTCTGCCCATGAGAACTTAGAAGGAATTTATTTTTACACCACATGGCTGGAGTCAGAGGCTGAGACCCTCATGGACAGCAAACTCCAGAAAGCCCATGAGGATTTTTTAAGCGAAAGGGGGCCCACTTTCCTTTTGGACATAAAGCAGGTTTTTGCTAAAGCCCAGCATCAAGCGTATGTAATGTTGTTGTTTTTTAACTTGCTTCTCAGATAACAAAATACCAGAATTATATTCTGCCCTATTTTCAGACTTAATTAATTAATTAATTACATCATTATCTATGGAATGACTTGTTTTGTCAACCAGTTAAATTATTCAAATTGTTTATGGAAGGAATACATTGCTAGAGGAAATTAATAATCCTTAATTCTATGAACACTATGTTTGGATTATTGAATGAAGGGAATCTAAATTAATTAACATTATGGACCAAGGTTTAGATATAATTCCCAATTTCATACCTACAAAAAATGTATGTAACAGTGCATGTGAATGTATTTTGCCTATAGAAATGTGTATTTGTGCATGCCAGTTAGGTGGGCACTCTAATATGCAAATACACCAGGTGCAAATACAATTTTCCAAATATGTGAAGTTCTGCACGTAAAAATTGAAAGAAGTTTTGAGTCCAGCTGAAAATTTAATCCTGTAGATGCAATAGAAAATAAAACAGATAATCATCTGTAGGTTTAAAAAAAAAAAGCTACCTACAAGATTTTTTCCAAAGATCAATGGAAATGTGGCCCTATTAATTAATATAGATTTTTGATATTGAGAAATAGTTATTCAAGATATTTAAGAAGCTTTTGACTAATACCTTTTTATGTCCTGTGCCCCCAGATCATTAAGCTAAACTATAGATATTTTTATTATTGTTTTGCTGGCCTGCATACAAAAATCCAGTTGTTATTACAGTAAAAGCTGTTATCTGCATAGGCGCTGACTTTACCTCTAGCCAGGTGTGCTCAGTTCCCCTCCTTCAACCCCCTACACCACCCCCTTCCTGCTCCTGCTTTGCCCCTACCCCATTCCATTCCTTCCTCGACACCCTTCCCCCACGCATGCTGGGTCCCTGCTTCTTCCCTTCGTCTTGGAGCATCCCGAACACCACTAAATAGCATTTTTGTGGTGGGCAGGAAGCGCTGGAGGGAAGGAGAGGAGTTGGGTAGTGGGGTTGCTGGCAGGTGAGAGGTACAGGGGGCAGTGGGGAACTCGGCTACTGGTGGGTGCTGAGTACACCCACTAATTTTTCCCCATTGGTGCTCCAGCTCCAGAGCACCCACAGAGTTGGCAGCACCTACGGTTATCCAGCATGTTGAGCAAATGAAGGGTGCCAGTTAATTGAATATTTTGGTTAACGGAGAGTAATACTTTACCAATGGAATAGCAATTTTCAAAGAATTAGAATACAATAAAATGAATAAAGTATAAAATATCATACAGATACTCACCATTCCAATAGTAGTACTGCATTACAGAGTGGTTGGTTTCTTGAAGTACTTAGGTGTAGAAAGGTAAGTTTTCTTATGACTCTACACATCATTGTGAGCAGAGCAGGGCGTACACCCAGATTACTAAGGGTACGTCTAGACTACATGCCTCTGGCGACAGGCATGTAGATTAGGCTACCCAGCATAGGAAAATGAAGCAGTGATTTAAATAATCGCCGCTTTGTTTAAATTTAAATGGCTGCTGCCCTGAGCCAATCAGCTGTTTGTCGGCTCAGCGCGGTAGTCTGGACGCTCCGCGGTCAACATCAAAGGCATTTGTCGTCCTCCCAGGTAAACCTCATCCCAGGTAAACCTCATTTTCCTATGCCGGGTAGCCTAATCTACATGCCTCTGTCACCAGAGGCATGTAGTCTAGACATACCCTAAGAATACACTTACCACTAAAACTATACTGAACATAATTTAATCTTTGATGCTTCATAAAGTACTTCAGGATCTTGCAGTCTCTCAACATCAATTATCATTATAGATTAAAAGGTGTAGACGATTAGGTTGAATTTGTAATGACCTTATGACACACCTTGGAAGCTGCTTTTTTAAAATAAATCCCTGATTTCAGCTTCATTTTTTATCCTCTGCCTCTTGTACATAAAAGTAGAATGTAGATGTGCAATTGCATAACATATTGGGCAATATACTAGTCCTAGTTACTAGATTGAAGAGTTGTAGTGAGAGCAATAAAAAATGTTGGCTAATTGAGTTTTCTGGTTAATTGAGTGCCAGAGTTTTTATTGTAATAGTTTTTATAACTATATTCTGTATTTGTTTTCTAGGATGCAAAAGTGAGACTGATAGTTATTGGACAGTCATCTTACCATCACATTAAGGTAAACCAAATAAACAGTTTGGTAAATGATGTATTGTATTATGTTTGTAACATAGTCACATAGTTAATTCGAAGTTGGCTTTCAGAGTCAGTGATATTAATTGGCTTTAGGCAGAGCTGTGGATGCTCACTAGCCCTAAAAAGAGGTCCTTATTACTTTTCATTAATCAGTTCTAATTGTAGTATACTTGAGAAAATCTTAGACGCTGATCCTGCAGATTTTGTTCAGGAAAAATTCCCACTGATTTCAGTGGAAGTTTTGTTGGAATCAGAACTTCATGATTTGGCCCTGAATGTTGATTGGGCTTAAATATGAAGACTTGAGAGGGTTTCAAAATCAGAATTTTTCATAATATTTTTTACTAAACATTCAATTGTAATATAATTATTGTATGTACATACCTATCTTGCAGCCATTTTGCAGTTTGACAGGGTACCACCATGAAATCTATGTTGATCCAGAGAGGGAGATTTATAAAATATTTGGCATGAAAAGAGGTGAAGCAGCCACATCATCAGGTAGAAAACACATTCTTCCTTTGAAAATAATGTCATTTAAAATGCTCTGTTAGCATAACAATACTAGATTAATGTACATGTTCAGTGCTGCGCTACAGTAACAATGCTGAATAATAATAATATGGAGATATGCCTATCTCATACAACTGGCAGGGACCTTGAAAGGTCATTGAGTCCAGTCCCCTGCCCTCACAGCAGGACCAAGTACCATCCATGACAGATTTGCCCCAGATCCCTCAATGGCCCCCTCAAGGATTGAGCTCACAACCCTGGGTTTAGCAGGTCTGTGCTCAAATTCCTGAGCTATCCCTCCCTCCTATGTTTTACTATATTCTAAAGGAACTGTCGGATTTTTGGAAGAGGCTCAGTATGGGCTTGATTCTGCTCTCATTGAGTTTAGGGGTGCAGGATAAAGTCCTAGTTTAAGATCTGATTATAATCCAGTGCAGGGCTACTCAAAATGCAGCCTGCAGGCCACATGTGGCCCCATTGGTTTGAGGCCTCCAGTGCAGTTTAGGTTTACTCAGGGCTCAACATGCAGCCCGCAGGTGGGATCCTTTGAACATGGTTTCCACTGAGAACATGCTTCACAACGGCAAGGCGTCTCTCAGGCGGGGGTGAAAGATACAAGCGGATGGGCTGGCTGGAACAGATGGGCCTCCCTAGCCCCCAGGGAGGAAGTGCTGGGAGTGCTGAGGAATTATGGGAAGTGCTTTCTATTCATGCCCATCAGTGTGAAATAATTGATTTGCATATATTTTCATATATATTTGCATGTATATGCAACCACACTTAAGTTGTGGCCCTCGGTATGTGCTATGAGTATCATTGTGGCCTCCAGGGCTTCCAAAGTTGAGTAGCCCTGATCTAGTGCATTACAGTTAAACTGCCAGAAACTTACGTAAAAGCAGAGAGGACTGAAAGCCTGCAGGCAACATGATGTTCAACATCAATAGAGCAGTCTGTAGATTAGTTTAAAGACAGAAGGTAAATGACCCTGTTAAATCCATTGACGTGCCTATTTTTAGTAATATATCCAATAATGGGGAAATATAGACCCTTGTTGCCTGATTTTGATTTCACCCTATTTATGCATAGGTGTAACTTCATTGATTTTGGTGATTACATCCAACTTACACAGGTGCCAATAAGATCAGAATTGGGACATTATTATAATGGAGTTGACTTCCCTTCTACAATAGCCTAGCCTCCGACTGTCAGATACTGGGATTGATGATATGGGATGGATTGCTTGATAATTGCCCTGTTCCTTTCATTCCCTTTGAAGCATTAGGCTTTAACTGCTATTAGAAGACAGGGTACTGGATTATATGGACCTCTGGTTTGACCCAGTATGGCTGCTGTTCTGCTTTTTTGTCTGTTTTAACACTGTAAAGTACTGTATATGTCTACAGAATAATATTTTGTTATCTAGATTTCTGTTATGACGATGATTACATTTTTTAGTAATATTTTTAAAATATTTCAGACAAAATGTATTTTGTTGTAATATATCCTCTTAACATTTTAGTGAAGAGCCCGCATGTGAAATCAAACTTGCTGTCAGGAAGTATCAGAAGCATGTGGAGAGCAATGACTGGCCCAGCTTTTGATTTTCAGGGAGATCCAGCTCAGCAGGGGGGGGCTATGATTTTAGGCCCAGGTAAGCTTTTTTATTTTTATTTTATTTTAAAATAATCTTCCCCTTCCCTAGCAGTTATATTGGCAAGAGGTTCTCTTCATCCCTGGCTGAACCCTGAGGATTCCCACAGAGAAATATCATCTTGTGCTTGTTTATGGTTTCACTACTTAAACTAAGTCTAAGTGTCATTGCATAGTTCCTGCTTACGAAGATGGTACAAAGATCTGAATGGTTCCTATTGAAACCAATGGGAGTTTTTTGCCTTTAACTTCAGTAGGAAAAGGATTGGGCTTAAGTTTTGTTTGTTGACATTTTGGCATCAGTCTATTCTCTGCCATTATATTTGATTCTAGGTATTTTATCTGATGTGTTTTTAAGAAAGCAGCAAAACATGAAAGGTGGTTTTCATGATAAAATCATTTTCTTGAAGTACTAGGAATCAGAAAAGTACAGCTGTAATTCAATGACTTATCTTACCATGCCTTGTTGCTATAATATTTTTAAATGAAAATATACATACTGTGATTAAAAAACAGAATGTTATATAAATTCACATAGTGCACAGTTTTAGACACAGTGCCTGAAAAACAGGATGCTTTCTTAATCCAATTACCTGTTATAATAAAGCAGCATTTTATTAAAATTATTACCATTTTTATTCTCTCTTTTTTTTTTTTAGGTAGCTCAGTCCACTTTGTGCATCTCGATAAAAATAGGTTGGATCATGCTGCCATTAACACAGTTTTGCAGCTTGCAGGAGTTAAAACTGTAAATTTTACAAACAAACATCAAATTATTGACATTTGACTTGCCGGAAAAAAACAGATTACAAATTAAACTTGATGCAAGAAGACAGAAAGACTTCAAAGAATTGCCATGTATGTCATATTTTATGTCCTAATATAAAAGCTGATAATACCTACTGGATCTCAGAGCACCAAGTAAGTTGCATTGTGCTGAAAATGCAGATGAACTCACACTTTCAACATATAGAAGAAATCATTAATTTTAAGACCTAACTGCCCTTTCGACAAAATAATTCTGTTTGCATTTTTCTGTCTCAAAAAATCTTGCTAGTTCAATCTTAAAATCTTGATTCAATTTGAAGCACTAAGCAACATGAAAACAAAACTCTAATAACTTGCTTTTTTCACAAAGAATCCTTGGAATTTTTGCCATTCAATAGGTCATGTATTTTTTTTCACTGGCGGCTTGAAACTTTTAGTATTATGTAAATTTCATAAAATATATTATCAAAAAGCAAGCATGAACAATAGGAAACTGACACAAGATTATGCCTATTCCTATATCTGACTATAGCAGCACAACAAAACATGTTTCTATAGTTCTAAATAAATGTTTAAATTACAAGCTCAATTGTTTGTAATTACTTTTCCCCTCCCCCTAGTTTGACACATCAAGATGGTAGCTTTTTTAAAACAAAGCAGAGGTAAGTTTTAAATGCATTCTGAATCAGACTATTAATTTAAAATAAATTAATTTTTAAGGTCTAAAGTTAATAACAGTGTTCCCTTAAACAGGGCAAAATTTCCATTAGTACATGTAGCAGAAGTTCTGGCTAAAATATCACTGGTTATTTCCATCAAAGCAACAGAGGTAGTAACACAATAGCATTTATTAGATCAGTGATTCTCACATTTTTTGGCCTGTGGACCACCTGGCTCAATGTAAACCTTTCCTCGGACCACCAGTTGCTAATGGAAACTCACCGTTAAGTACATAATTACAGCGAGTCATTTTGCTAGTACGGCAACTAGGGAGAATAATTTAGTTTATTAAACAGATTAAGCTGTTTTAACTTTCTCATGTTAGTTACCAAACTTCATTTTAAAATAAAATATTAATTTATGTCCAACACAAAAGGTTTCAGTGTTTTCTTTATTTATGGCAGGCATGCGGAACCTTTTTTGTGTCAGGGGCCACTGACCCACAGAAAAGTCAGTTGGGGACCAGACAAGTGAGAAGCAAAAAAAACCTTCTCCAACTCCCCTCCAACCCTCACTGATGTGGCTCCCAGCTGACACAATTCACACTTCTGGTGCTCCAGCCCCACTGGGTAAAGGGAAGGAACAGGGAGGACTGAGGTTTAGGCTTTCCATAGGATAGATTTACTTCTCTGGTGGATTTTATTGACCCCCTTAGACTATGGAATGGGGACAAAAATATGCAGGATAGGGCTGCCAGTGAGTGGGATTGAAATGGGGTGCAGGATCTTGGAGAGGCGGGGTCCAGAAGTGGGAGGAGACAGGGAGGCTGGGTGTGGCACAGCAAGGCGGGGGTGGGAAGGGGGTGACCAAGGGGTGTTCAGCCCTGCTGGGGGCGGGGTCTCATGGGGATCCAATCCATGGCACGGTAGAGGGACAGGCGTTGAGGAGGCTCAGCTCCTCCCCCCAGACCAAGTCCCCATGGGCGCAAAGTCCTGAAAGGCCCCGAGCCCCCACCTGCGTCCTGCATGTGCGGGCTCCTCAGTCCCAGCGCTGTTTCCTCCCACTGCCACTGGGTGCTGCGTAGCCTAATCTGCTGCTGGAAAAGGGGGAGAGCACCAGCCACTCGTGCACCACGAGAGCCCATTCCACCTGGCTGAGCCCCATGCAGCCCAACCTGCTGCCTGCCCCGCAACCAAGGGATGCACCGCTGTTACCATGGCAACAACAAGCTCAGTAGGCTCGAGGCAGATGCCCAGCAGTGGGTGGGACTTTCCCTTGGAGAGCAGTAGAGTGGCGCTCCTCTACCTGTAGCTCTGCAGCCTGCGCGGTAGGGGGGCAATTTGCTTTCTTCACCCCTCCCCCTCGTGCCCTCCAAGCTGGAAGCCAGAGCTGGTGTTGCAGCTCTGTGGCTGCACACCAAACCACAACCCTCAAGTGGCAGTGCAGGCTCCCTGATGTGTGGGGGAGGAAGAGGGACTGAGTTCAAGCCACGGACCATCTGGGAAGCAGCTGCGGATGACCGCACGTTGACAAGCATTGTATGTTTAGAATCTTCCTATCGTATCTGCTTATCTTTAGAATCCATTGCTTTCATTCATAAAGAGCATATTTATCTGTGAACCACATTTTACCCATTTAAAAAAGAACCTGCAAATTATTTATGGAGACGCATGGCTCATTCTCCCCTGCAATTTTTGAACTTTATTCTCTACTGTAAATTGCTCTTGTTCATGCATAACTTACAAGTCATAAGGAAAATCTCTCTGTAGGCTTATGCATACACAGCAAAATGCAGTTGTACAAAGCATGGCCTGCTCCTGCATCTATTTAGGTTGTTGTCAGTCCCAGAATAAACTCTTTTTGGAATTCTGCACATTAACATGTTTGAAATTGAATAAAAAGTTCAGTGACTGAAAAATGCAACACTTACATTAGAAAAATAATGATTAGCGAGCAACCCAATAGCCACAATAGAATTCATTTCCTAGGATCTGAGGAGGTTTTGTTTTCAGTTTGGTTATAGTAACAGGTTCAGATGTTAAAGAGACATTGTCAATTTGAAAATCTTCTTTTTGAATCACTTCTCTAGCCACGCTGCACTTGCTACAGGAGAAGCAAGGGCGATTATGCACTAACTTTGAGGTCCTTTGATCCCAGAGCTATCCAGGGACACTCAGGCTACGTCTACACTGGCACCCTTTTCTGGAAATGCTTAAAACGGAACAGTTTTCCGTTATAAGTATTTCTGGAAAAAGCGCGTCTACATTGGCAGGATGCTTTTCTGGAAAAGCACTTTTTCCAGAAAAGCGTCCGTGGCCAATGTAGATGCGCTTTTTCGGAAAAAAGCCCCAATCGTCATTTTCGCGACCGGGGCTTTTTTGCGGAAAAGACTACTGTGCTGTCTACACTGGCCCTTTTCCAGAACAGTTTTTCCGGAAAAGGATTTTTGCCCGAACGGGAGCAGCATAGTTTTTCCGGAAAAACACTGACAATTTTACAGTAGATCGTCATTGCTTTTCCGGAAAAGCAAGCAGCCAGTGTAGACAGCTGGCAAGTTATTCCGGAAAAGCGACTGCTTTTCCGGAATAAGTGGCCCAGTGTAGACACAGCCCACATGTAAAAGTCTCTCACAGTCCCAGGAGCCATCCTGGCAAAAAGGGGATCACCAGGCAGTAAGAATACTCCACTCAAGCCCCTTTGTCTCCAGCAATATTCTCTACTACCACCCATGAGGGTTTCTTTGGTTCTCTGTGACCCAGAGTTTCCACTACTGGGCTTCCAGATACTTTACAAGTCCCAGAACAGCAAAAAGACCGCAGAATTGGATCCCATTTGTGCTAATCAAACATACTTCTGCCTATCTTATGCATGGCATTTTAGATTCTTAAAAGAAAAGGATTGTTAGATATCTGTTTTCCTTGTCCCCTTTTATGCTACAGCAGAAGCAAGTTTGGTTATGCACTAACTTTGTCTGTGAGGGAGACATCTTTAACGACACCTGGATCCAGCCTGAAGTCAAATGCAGAGGAACATGCTAGCATTTAATCTAATTACGTATTAATGAAAGCAATCAATTAGAAATCTGAATTGTGTATATAGTGTTATTGTAACTATGTTGATCTTAAGATAGTAGAGAGACAAGACGGGTGAAGTAATATCTCTTATTGGACCAACGTCTGTTTATTATTTTCTCCGGGGAAAGTGAGATCACAGTCCCTCGCTACTTCAAGATATAAAGTCTTTTTTTGCAACCTGGAATGCAAGGGATGAGCCTCATCCTGGGAAAACCACCTTCATGATCATGGTATCTTCTGTCAGTGAGAGAGACAAGCTTTCAACCTACACAGGGCTCCTATTCAGGTCAGCGAAAGGTACTAGTCACAGCTAAATACAAGACTGAACACATATATGGGTGTCCGGTATGCTAGGCAGAGTAAGGCTTTGCCTTCCCAGACCACCAACCATAGCCCCCACCCCCAGAACGCCTATGCTAGGCATTCTGGTGATAGTTGCTGCCACCAGCGCCTGCCCTCCCTGTGCTCTGGGGCTGGTAGGCAGGGTTGCGCTGCGTGCCCTCCTCCCTTCCCCAGTGCTCTGTGACTAGAGAGGCTGGGACAGGCCACACGGCGCACCCTCCTCCCTTCCCTGGTGCTCCGTGACTGGAGAGGCTGGGGCCATGCTGTGCACTCTCCACCCTCCCTTGGGCTGGAGAGGCTGGGTTGGGCCGCACAGTTCGTCCTCCTCCCTTCCCCGGTGCTCTGGACTGAAGAGGTTGATCCGGGTTGCGCTGCACAGCGTGTACTCCCCTGGGTTGGGGAGGCTGGGGCTATGACGTGCACCCTCCACCTTCCTTCCTCCCCAGGGCTGGGGAAGCTGGGCCGAGCGCGCACCCACCCGCTCCCCTCCTTGTAGTTGGGTGGGGTGAGCACGTAGGGAGTAGGGAAGGGGAGGGGCTGCCAGTGGGGTTGGGAGCTTGCCTCCCGTAGCCTTGCCTTCACCAACTGCCCAAGAATAGTTTAGGATAAGTAGTTAGTGCATATTTTAATGACCATTCAAGGTGAAATGGCCCTGTAACACCTCAACTTCCCCACGCTCATCATCAGACACAACAACTGAAAGAGATATCAGACCCTGCCAGTACAGGTGTGAAACCTGCAAATATTTTTCCATTGCCACTATTATCAACATCCTCCACAACACACTTTTCAAGATCCAGGGGTCTTACACATATCTATTGCAACATGTGGGGGTACCTTATCCAGTGCACTAAATGCCATATAGCAACTATGTGGTTGAAACCAATCAGTGCGGATTCAAATATACAGTGCTAGATTCTAAAAATCATAGTCTAAGTTAACACTGGATTTATGACTTATTACAACCATCTGTAACCCTCTAACCCATAGGTGCTAACTCTGTGGGTGCTCAAGGGCTCTAGCACTCACCAGGAAAAATTAGTAGGTGCTGAGCACCTACCAGCAGCCAAGCTCCCCTATCCCTACCACGCCTCTCACCCCACTAACCAATTCCTCCTTGTTCTTCCTTCCAGCACCTCCCAACCACCCAGACAGCTGTTTCACAGCGTTTGGGATGCTCCAGGAGAAAGGAGAAGAAGCGGGCACGTGGTGCACTGAGGGAGGAGGCAGGGAAGAAGGGGTACAGGGGCTTAATGGAACACAGGTAGAATGGGGATAGGAAAAGGCAAGGTGGGGACTTGGGAGAAAGAGGTGGAAGGGGAGTAGGTCCTGGAGTGAAGGTGTGATCAAGGCCCTGCCTCCCGGCTAGCGGGGAAGTGGGCACCTATGTACTAATCCCCTTTTTCTCAAAAGAAATTGGATCTGCTGGGTCAGACCTATAGTCCATCTAGCTCAGTGGTTCTCAACTCATTTCAGTCCACGGACCACCAGGCCAATCAAAAAATTTTCATGGACCACCTCCAGCACATGTAGCACAGGACGAACGACACAGCAACCGCTCAGCACGATGGCGACAGCTACACCGATGCTCAGAGCCTCAGACAGAAGTTACTGGCAACACAACGTGGTTGCATCCTAGGATGATACGTTGCATGCTTGTGAACACGGCGTAAAACAGCTTAACGGTGGTGCTTGCTCACGCTGTGTGACTTTGGACAATGTTCCTGTGGACCACCGAAAAAGTCACCATGGACCACCAGCTGAGAACCACAGATCTAGCTCCATACCAGTCTTCTGACAATGGTCAATGCCAGATATGCTTTAATAAGAATGAACAGAACAGGGTAATTATCAAGTGATCTCCTGTGGTCCAATCTCAACAATTCTGGGACTATGGGGGTGTTAACAAGCCATCTCACCTTATATTGTTTATTAGAACGTGCTAATTGCTTTGTAAACTATCTGTTCCAATTATCTATTGTATTTAGCTGTGACACTCTGTCTACA